GAACTCCATCATATAAATGAACTACATTTTCATTATCCACTCATCAATTAAGGAACACTTAGGTTGCTTCCATCTCTTAGCTATTGTGAAAAGAGCAGCAACAAACATGGTTGTACACGCATCTCTACAATAGGATGAGTCCTTTGGGTATATGCCAAGGAGTGGTATAACCGGGGTCATGTGGTAGGTTCATTTTTAGTTTTGTAAGAATTCTCCACACTATTTTTCATAGGGGTGTACAAGTTTGCAATCCCACCAGCAGTAAATGAGTGTTCCCCTTTCTCCACATCCTCACCAGCATTTGAGGTCATTTGTTCTCTTGATCCTAGCCAGTATGACTGGGGTAAGGTGAAACCTTAAGATGATTTTAATTTGCATTTCCCTAATTACTAACAATGTTGAACACTTTTAAAGATGCTTCTTAGCCATCTTTATTTCTTCCTTTGAGAACTCTGTTTAGATCTTTTTAGCCCATCTTTTAATTGGGTCATTTGCTTTCTTGCTTCTTTGTTTTTTGAGTTCTTCATATATTCTGGATATTAAACCTCTGTCAGATGTGTCATTAATGACGATTTTTCCCACTCTGTGTGTTTTCTCTTGTTGGTTGTTGACCTTACTTCCTAAGCAACTGCTGTGTGATTTAGAAACTCCTTTCCTACACCTATATCTTGTAGGTTACTGCCAACATTTTATTCTAATAATTTCAGGGTTTCATATTTCACATTGAGGTCTTTGATCCATTTAGAGTTGACTTTTGTGCAAGGCGAAAGATAAGGATCTAGTTTTATTCTCCTACAGGTGGAGATACAGTTTTGCCAGCACCATTTGTTGAAGATGCTGTCTTTACTCCATTATGTGTTCTTGGCACCTTTGTCAAATATCAGGTGGCTGAAATTATGTGTACTCAGATTCGGATCTTCAATGATGTTCCATTGATCTGTGTGTCTATTTTTGTGTCAGTACCATGCCATTTTTATAACTATAGCTCTGTAGTATACTTTGAGATCTGGTACAGTAATCCCTCCAGTGTTTTTCATTGTGATCAGGGTTGCTTTGGCTATCTGGGTTTTTTTGTGCTTCCATACGAATTTAAGGATTTTTTTTTTTTCTAATTCTGTGAAGTATGTCATGGGGATTTTGATTAGGATTGCATTGAATCTATATATTGCTTTTGGAAGAATGGTCATTTTCACAATATTAATTCTTCTAATCCATGACCATGGAGGTCCTTCCATCTTCAGGTGTCTTCCTCAATCTCTTTCTTTAAAATTTTTAAATTTTCATTGTAGAGCTCTTTGGTGTCTTTAGTCAGGTTTTTTCTAAGATATTTTATTTTTTGCAGCTATTGGGAATGGGAGCATTTTCCTGTACTCTTTCTCAAATTGCTTGTTATTGGTATATAGAAAAGATACTGATTTTTGTAGAGTGATTTTATAACCTGATAATTACTGAACATGTTGATCAGTTGTAGGAATCTTCTGCTGGAACTTTTGGGATCTCTTAGGTATAGTATCATATCATTTGCCAAAAGGGATAATTTGACCTCTTCTTTTCCAATTAGTGCTCTTTTGATTTCCATCTTTTGTCTTATTGTTCTAGTAAGAGTTTCAAGCACTATATTGAAAAGGAGTGGAGATAGTGGACATCCTTGTCTGGTTGCTGATTTTAATGGGAATGCTTCCAGTTTTTTTTCCCCCATTTGGAATGATGGTGGCTGTGGGTTTTATTGTATATAGATTTAATTAGTTGAGGAATACTTCCTCCAGTCCAATTCCCTTTAGAACTATTATCATGAATGCATGCTGAATTTTGTCAAAAGTCTTTTTTGCATATATTGAGATGACTGTGGTTTTTGTCTTTGAGTCCATTTATATGATTATGACATTTATTGACACATATATTGAACCATCTCTGCATCTCTGGAATAAAACATACTTGATCATGGTGAATGATCTTTTTGATGTACATCTGTATGTGGTTTGCAAGTATTTTCTTGAGAAGTTTTGCATGTATATTCATTAAGGATATGGAAATATAGTTTTCACTTTGGTTGTTTTTACCCAGTTTGGTATTAGAGTGATGCCGGCTTCATAGAAGGAATTTGGGAGTTCTCCCTCTGTTTCTATTATTTTGAATAATTAATGTAGTATTGATTGGAGGTCTTCTTTAAATGTCTGGTAGAATTCTATTGTAAATCCATCTGGGGCTGGGTTTTTTTCTAGTCTGGATGCTTTGTATTATTGCTTTGATTTCCTTATATGTTATGGGTGTGTTTAATCAGTTGATCTCTTCTTGGT